CGACTCCTCTGCTGACTTGTATGACGGCACCCCTCCTCTGAGCCTCTTTTCCCGCCTAGAACAGGCATCTCACTCATCTTTCCTTCGTGCCCCATCAGGCCAGGGCACAGGGTACCTAAGACTTTTGAGATGGGAGCCAGAGGGCTTCTCCATGCTGCCCGCACGCACATCCGGGGTCCTGATTTGTGCACCGCACGGTTCGAGCCCCTGCCCGTCTTTGCTGCTGCCCTTGTCTGCTACCCCGTACAGCCGCTGTGCTGTGGGTCATGCTGGGCTCCAGGGTCTCCAGGGGTGCCATACATCAGCCCCTTCCTCGCTGGGATCTTGGTTTCTCCTTCAGTTCAAGGCTTCAGGCAGTGGGAGGGTTTGAGCACAGGCCTCTGGAAGGATTGGAATAACTGAGTCGCAGGGGGGGCAGGAGGCTAGGCGGGTGGCCAGGAGATGGACCCTGAGGTCCAGCCCAGCTGGAGCTGGGGGCTGGTCGCATGACCATTCAGAGAGTGTGGGAACAGAATGGTTCTCTGGTGTGTGTTGGGGCCACGCTCTCATGTGTTGGTGGAGAGACCCAGGCTCTGAGGGATGGAGACGGGTGCTGGGGGAGGCTGAGCCTGAGTTCGGGCTCACATCCCTCTGCCTCCCGATCCTTGTGAGCTGGGGCCTGGGCTAAGAGAGCAGAGGGCACTCTGCCTTCAGCTTCCTGTGTGACCCTGGGCCTCAGTTTCCTTAGCTGTACCCTCAGAGGTTTGGACGAGGTGAATGTTGGTCCCTTTCGGCCTTTGCATTTGGAGGTTCTCTGAGTACAGGTGTGAAATAGAAACGATCCCACTTTGCTAGCTGTGCGATCTTGGGTAATGCTCTTGGACTTGAACTTCTTCATCAGTAACATGGAGATCATAACTGTACCTAGGGGCGCTTGAGTGGCTCTGTCGGTTAAGCGTCCGACTTCGGCTCAGGTCATGATCTCACGGTTCGTGAGTTCGAGCCCCATGTCGGGCTCTGGGCTGACAGCTCGGAGCCTGGAGCCCGCTTCGGATTCTGTGTCTCCCTCTCTCTGACCCTCCCCCGTTCATGCTCTGTCTCTCTCTGTCTCAAAAAAGTAAAGAAACGTTAAAAAAAAAAATTTAATAACCGTACCTAGAGGTTAGTGTGAGGCTTGTTTAAATGAGGTGATGCACGTGAAGCTCCTGAGAAGGGTGCCTGGCCCACCGTGTGCACTCGGTCTGTATTAGCTGCTCTACTAGTGTTCTTAGCCTCTTCCTCCTCCCCCATCGTTGTCTGCCCTGCCTGCCGCAGAGGCTGCTGGGAACATCGGAGCGCTCAGAGGAACTGGCCTCAGAGACTGCTGTCCGAGGGTGTCTGCAGGGTGGGGAGGCGAGAGCAGGTCCCCGTGTGTGGTTGGAGCATAGCTGGTGCTGGGGCTGGGCCCCAAGCACTTTCTCTGGAGGTCCCCGACATCGTGGCTGGCTCTCTGGGTCAGAGCCAGGCGTGATGAGGTCCCACGGCCAAGTGGCGGGGGAGGCAGGGGTCCTGAGACCCATCCTCATCTGCAGAATGGGGACAATCCTTGGCGGGGGGGTGGGGGGGGAAGGTTAGGTGGTATTTTATATTTTACGTGTATCTGAATGCCTCACTTGGTGAGCCCCACCCAGGCGGTGACCAATAACTATCCCTCCTCTCCCTTCTCTTACCCCACACTTTAAGAAGGAAAAGCTGGAAGTTTTATGAGCCATTGGGCTCGGCCCTGGCTGGAGTTATCTCTGTGCTCCAGGCCTTGTTTTCTCCGCCCGTAAAATGGGGAGAGGTTTCTCTGCAGCTTTATAGTGTACCACGTGAACACCCTTGCTTAGCGGGGGGCCAGGCGTGACAGCCAGGAGGGCAAAGGCTTAAGAGACTCGATAGTGGACCGGCCCCTGACCCCTAGCAGGTGGGTCCCCTTCCCAGTGGTGGCGGCCACTCCCTGGCCTCCCTGCTGCCCATCTTTGCTGATGCGGGTGCCTCCGCCCGAAACGCCCGTCCTGCTGAAACCTTATTCCCGTGGGCAGATCCAGGTCAGGGGAGGGGACTGTGCCCGGGACAGAGGCGTTGGCATTTCAGAGGCCACAACTTAAAAAAAACAACTTGACCCGTGTTCTGTCAAGCTGCGTGCTCCCTCCTGCGCCGAGCGGCAGAGAACACGGGGCATCTGGGGCCCCTTAAGAAGCACATCACCGACGTCCTTCCACCCCCGTCAGCCAGCACGGCTGAAGGGCAAAGCTTTTCTGCAATGTCAACGCTGGAGCCCGCAGAGCCAGGTTTTCCCACTGCGGCTGGGAGGTGTGGCAGTGTGGGCAGCAGATTTGGTCTGTCAAGCCAGCTGCTGTTGACACGCTGGGGTCTGCCCTGGGTCTTCTGGGAGCAGGCCTGCCGGCTGCCCACCCGGCCCGGCTTTGGAAATGAAAAGGCCCATGAAGTCATCTGTGCAAGGGCATCGATGTCGGGATGCAGCTTAGAAACCCCAGCGAGGTGTGGGGCCGCTCCGCGTGCTGTGGCGCAGGGGAGCCCGTTAGAAATGCCGCGTGTCCGCCCCGCCCCACACCTGCCGAGTCCGAGCAAGGTCCCCGGGGTGATTCCTGTGCACATCACAGCATGGTTCTTGCTGCTCTAGAGCGCGGGCCAGGCTCGAGTCCCATCCCTGCTTACTAGCTGGGTGGCCTCAGACGAGTTCCCTCACCTCTCTGAACATCAGCTCTTGCATCCACAGGATGGGTGTGGGGAAGATTCTCTACGCGAGCAGGTTAATAAAAATCCACACGGAAGCCAGTGTGTATGAGGCACTGAACTCGGTGCGTGGGACGCAGACTGTGCGGGCCCATCAGTGGTTGTCGCTTTGGAGACCCGGCTTGTGTCTTTGCTCTGGGTCGACTGGGGGCAAATCACTTTCCTTCTCTGGGCCTCATTTGCCCTCTCTGTGCGATGGGTCTGTTAACCCCTCTGTCACTTTCCTCATCAAAAGGTTGCTCGAAGGAAAAGTGAGAGGGGCCGGGCCTCATCTCCAGGAGCCCGTCTGAGAAGCGGATGTGTGTGGGCGAGGTGCCCCTGGGTGCCCACCTCTTCACCCCTCGCGGCCCCCTTCTCTGCTACTCCTGCCCTTGCGATAGCGAGGCCAGCTTGCAGAAAGCTGCCTGAGCCCCTTCCTTGCACCTGCTCTGCTCGGCAGCTTGGAATTGAGCCCCCTGCCCCTCTGAGAGCAGCGTGGCCAGGAGAGATGATTCAGCTCAGACCCGTGTTCTGGGCCTTGGCCTCCCTTGAGAGAAGCCCCAGGAGCCCCATGCTGCGTTGAGGGCAGCCTGTGAACTTCTCCCCACCCGGGGTTCCTGTCTCCCACGGTGGGCCCGGGGCGGGACTCCTGGCCTTGCCCCTGACATACCAGGTGACCTTGGACAAATTCCCTGTATGCTGTGGGCCTCGGGTTCCTCATGTGTACAGTGGGGGGGTTCAGTGAGATGGTCTGGCCTGGGGTCGGTCCTTAGCTTCTCTCCCTGCCTCTCCTTAGCTTTCTCGGTGCCCTTCATCCCTGGCAGGAGCCCCAGCCCCAGTCCCACTGCCCGCCAGGTTCTGGACCCGGCAGCCCCTGGCAGAGCTAGGCCTGCCTGCCAACACCAGGGGGGTTGGTAGAGACCAGAGGGAGCCAGGGAGAAGGGGAGCATGTAGGGGAGAGGAGGAATTTTCCTCTGTGTGTGCAAACAGTATCCGTGTTCTCTTGTTTCCAAAAGCCAGTGACGTAACCCACCCTTCATCCATTCTTCCCCTCTGGCCTATTTTTAGCCGGCCCCGACAGCATCCTAAAAGGCTTCCAGACTCGCCTGCTCTGAGGCCATGTAGGGAGGCGGCCATAGGGTGAGGAAAGAGACAAGCTCATCGGTGTGTCTCAGGAGGGCGGGAGGGAGGGGACCTCTTCCAGGCTTCCTCTGGGGAGGGAGAGGAGCTGGGTGGGGAGCCCAGTTACGGCTCCCATGGGTCCTGGGTCTACAGGGGGCCTGGCAGGGTTACAAGTACTCGGTCTGGAGCCTCCAGCCTGGGTTAGAGTCCTGGCTCCACCTGTCCTCACCCTGACCTTGGGCACCTGACTCTGTGCCTTGCTTTCTCCATCCGTAACATGGGGTAACACTACGGCTGTGCTGGAGGGTTGTTAAGAAGACCGAATTATGTCATGTAGAACCGTGCCTGGTAATTATTAACATCCCATTCTACCTCCAGTTAATGTTGGGGGGTACACTGGGAGCCCCTGGGTGCCCTCTGTTCTTTCCTGTCCAGCTTTAACTAATGTGTGCCCGAATGAGACAATACACAGAAAGCCCTGGAACAGCGCCTGGCGCATAATAAGCGCTGAATAAGTGAGAGCTATATTTATTGTTTTTGTTTTAATGTAACCAAGCAGACCTGGGTTTGAATTCCAGCCCCACCTGCTAGCTAGCTGAGCGTCTCTGGGTAAGACACTTAACCTCTCTGGGCCTCAGTTTCCGTATCTGTGAGCTAGGGATGATCGCTGTGTAGGAGACTTCTCTGCTGATGAAGGTCGCTACAGGACAAGAACCCAAGATCGCAATGATCAGTACAATAAAAGTTTCTTTCTGACGGGTGCAAAGAGCCCCTATCGGGTGCTGGCTGCAGCCGGGCTCCCGTGCTGTCCCGTGTGAGGCAACCATAGCAGGAACAGTGGCATTTGCACGGCACTTTACAGCGTGTGTGAAGTAGAGAGTGTGGTCCCTCCGGCCTTCATCTCCCCGCGGCGCTGGTGCCAGCCCGTGGCACACGTCACCACCGCCTGATATGGTTATGGGCCGTCCCCCCCCCACCCCTAGACTGGGAGCTCCTGGAGGGCAGGCCGGGATGGGTTCACTGCTGCCCCTTCCTTGCCTGGCCCGGGGACAGGCCCAGGGTGGGTGCTGGCATTGTGTCTGAGGGCTGGACTGGCACGGGGAGCCCACCCTCTGACCACCTGTCCTTCTCGACTCTTGCAGGTGGGAGGAAGAGCTTGCCAAGCGCATGAACCTCCAGACCATGGTGGACACGCTGCAGGAGGTGAGCGCCCTCGGAGGTCTCGACCGGGAGAGGCTCGTGGGAACCATGTGGCCAAGGGGCACTGTCGCGGTGGCACAAAGCCCGAGGCCATTCCTGGCTCAGCCCCTGCTCTGTGCTGCTTTCTGTTGCCTCAGTCTCTCCTCAGTGGAGCCACAAGGCCTCTCCTTGTCCCCTGCTTCAGACCTAGGAAGGGACTGGCACAGTGTTGCAGAAAAGCTCCGGGACAGGAGTTGGGAAGCCTGGGTCTAAGTCCCTGCGCTGACCCCTGCTTGCTGGGTGATGTTGGTCCAGTAACTCTTACCCACCTTCTCCCCACCTGAGCTCAGGATTGGATGGTTTCTCTCTCTCTCTTTTTTTAAATGCTTATTTATTTATTTTGAGAGAGAGAGAGAGGGGGAGAGGGAGAGAGTGCGCGCGCGTGCGCGCGCACACACACACACACACACACACACGCACGCACAAGTGGGGGAGGGGCAGAGAGAGATGGAGAGAGAGAATCCCAAGCAGGCTCCGTGCTGTCAGCGCAGAGCCTGACGCGGGGCTCGATCTCACGAACCGTGAGATCGGGACCTGAGCCGAAATCAGGAGTCGGACGCTTAACCGACTGAGCCATGCAGGCGCCCCAGGACTGGATGGTCTCTTGAACTGCCCAGCCCCCAGCTTAAGGGAACTGACTTGGGGCGGGATGCCTCGGAGAGGGCTGGTGGCCATGTCACCAGGTGAGAACATTCCCTTTCGGTTCTGGCTCTGTGTCTATGGCTCTGCTTCTCACCCACCTGCTGGGTACCCTGGGCAGCAAACTCCACCTTCCTGGCCTTTGAATAGCGACCCCAGGAGAAGGCAAGGAAAAGTTCTTTCCAACATTAAAAAGGATTGCTTTCTGATATTGAAAGCACTGATATTATAAGAGATAGAATAAAATAATGTCAATATGTAGAAGGAAAAGGATGAATGGCTGCCCCCCCCTTTCTTTTATAACAGAAATCTTTGTATTTACAAACATAACGTGTTCATGGTCACATATTTGGAAAGTTCAGAGAAGTACAGGGAGAAAATAAAACCTACCTCCAGTTCTACCCCTGCATAGTTGACAAATTGCCATGTGGCCTTCTGGTCTTTTCTGTGCAAACACAGGTACTCTAGACGTATATGTTTGATTAGGTTAACACACATGACGTTGCCATTTTTGAGATGGGAGATGGTCAACCATTGGGAATCTCACATGGACCGACCTCATATTTTAACCTGTTGGGATCTCTTGTTATATTAACCTGCTCTTCTCTTCTTAATATCTGCCGGGGATTTTTTCCATACGATGACTATTTCTTTGAGAAGTGTTTTAAGCCGAGTGGTGCCCTGAAGTGAACTGGGCTCAGAGGAAAGGCGGGCTGGGGTGAGGTCATCAGCACCCTTTCCCTGGCATGCAGGTGCCAGGCCTGGTGGGACGTCAGGCATCCAGGGCTGTAGACCCAGGTGCCCAGCCCTTCCTAGCCCTCAGGATGCCTGGCCCCCTAAGCCCGTCCGCATCTCTGTCCTCCACAGGCGGCACAGGAGGCTGAAGCCATCCAGGAGGAGATGAACGAGAAAATTGAGCGGCTCAAGGCCGAGCTGGTGGTGTTTAAGGGGCTCATGAGTGACGTAAGTGCCACCGGCCGCCACCCCAGGCGTCATGACAACCCCTCCCCCCCCATCATGCAAAATGCTTCATTCACTCCGAGGCTCCAGAGCTCGGCTTCTAGTTAGAGTCCTGGCTGGCTGCGTTTGCCCCGTGAGGATGTCGGATGCATCCGAGACCAGCCCCCACCCCTCACTTCTGCTTCCCTTGGTCTGAGTAGAGATGCATTAATCTGCTGCTTAACCCATCCCGCCCTCCCCTGGGCTCCTCTGATGGTCTGTTTGCGTTTGCTCCGACTCGTCCCAGCTTGCCACGTTGAGGGCAGGTGGTGGCCGTGGGCCTTGCTGTCTGGGCACGGGGAGGGCCCAGTGGCAGGTTGCAGGAGGCCCCGGGTCTGGCCCGTGCCAGCCTGAGAGGCTCCCCAGGCCAGCGGCCTGTAGCAGGGTTGCTTTGTAAAGTTGGGGAAGGACAGTGTGTGCATCCTTTTGGCGACTGGAACCTTTCTGAGCGACCACGGGTGCAGGGAGCTGTTGGCAACAAAGGCCTCCTTCCTGCTGGGGACCCGGGTTTCCCGCCACCTTCAAGCAGCGGGCCGTACGTAGGGAGGGCCGCCAGAAAGGAGAAGGAGCCCCGATCGCGGGTGACTCAGCCTGGTGTGGCTTCTAGTCCTGAGGGGTGTGGAGCTGGGTGTGGCTGGAAGAAGCCTCTGGGGGCTGCAGGTGAAGGCCACCTGGCTTTCCCTCACTGGGGTCCTGGGGGACCCCCCCCCCTCGTCTTAGGTGATGCCCCGCTGTCAGCCGTGGGGAGGGGGGTCCTGGGGAGAGAGCGCCACTTGGCAGGCCCCTCTGTGGGGGACAGGTGGGGCACGCGGGGTGCGAAAGAAGGGAAGTCTTTCAACAGTGGGGGCTGTCTTTCTTTTTCCTTTGCTCTAACAAATAAACACCGTGTCTCTTGAGGGGATGCCTTCCAGCAGCCCTTAGGGAGGCCGCCAAACAGGGTCTCACATTGTCTACTCAGCGCCAAAGCCTTTAGCTCCTACGACCCCCCCTCCCCCTCCCCTAACCTGAGCAGCGCTGGCCCCACCCCCGACGCCCAGGAGAAGCTCCCCGGCCCCCTCGGAATCTGGACCCCGGGCCTCACGCCCCTCCGCCCCCTCAGGAGCCTGGGAGCGACTCCCCCGCCCCCCTGTGCTTGGTCCAGCCCTCGCTCACGTAACCCCCCTGCTGTCCTCCCTGCAGCCCATGACAGACCTGGACACAAAGATCCAAGAAAAGGCCATGAAGGTGGACATGGACATCTGCCGTCGAATCGATATCACGGCCAAGCTGTGCGATGTCGCACAGCAGCGGAACTCGGAAGACGTGTCCAAGATCTTCCAGGTGAATAGGGCCACCCTGCTCACCAGCTGCCACTCCCCACTCCCAGAGGGCCTGGCCTCCACCCTGCATGGCCCTATTCCCCCCGAGCCCTGCCCACTCCCCTTCCCCCCAGAGGTAGCGTTTACCCACCCCTCTGGCCTCCCCAGGACGAGGTAGAATCAGGCGCTTGTAGGCCCCTCAGGCTGCGTCGTCAAGGAGGAGTGCTTCATCCTGCGGCTGAAGAGGCCACTTGGCCCGGAGGGGGGCGGGGTGACACAACGGGCTCAGGGAGGGAAAGGAAGTGCCAGGAGGGATCTCAGGTCTCCTCACCCCTCAGGGCTCGGCCCACGGGGCGCCATCGCCCAGGTCGAGGGCCCTGGCCAGGCTGTGGGAGCCCTGGGTTGGCCGACCTGAGCCCTGGCAGTTGAGTCTAAGATTTCCCAAGAGGGGCTTTTGGTCTCTATTTTCCGCTTCCACTGAAGAGCCTCTGTCAGTACCCTGGGGGCTTGTCCAGCTGCCCAGAGGGCATGCGTCATTCTCCAAAGGCTGCTTCTTGAATTTTGGGTTGTGGTTTGGCTTTTTGCTTGAGCCCAGGGCAATACGGTGTGTCGTCGCCTTAAGTGCGTGACTTCGGACGTAGCGGGAGAAATCCGGGCTCGTCCACCTCCGCGCCTTCTTGCTGCCGCCTCTGCTGGGGAGCAGGGGTGACCATGCCAGGCTTTGTTTGGTTTGCTCGTGTCTTGTCTGCTTGGAGTGGAGGAAGCTTGGTGAACCTGGGGCTGCCTGCCCGTTACCTTTGCGTGCGAGCAGGAGGGCTCTGAGCGTGGGGCCTCTGGGCCCCTGTGAGGGGTTTCTCCATCTCTGGCTGGCTCTGACACATCCCGGGTGACTCTGTGCCCCGGGCTGGCCCATCCCTCTCCCCCAGATCGTGGGCCTACTGCTCTGGTGAAGGGCTGAGCCGGGCCGGCCCACCCCCAGGGGAGGGAAGGGTCAGGCCGTCTGTCCTCCGTCCTGCATGTCTCCGCCTCACGCTCCCTGCTAGCTCCGCCTGCTTCTTAGAGGAGTTCAGCTCTGCACCCTTCCTAGCAGTGGCTACCCCAGCCACGCTCCATCCATCCCGTGGGATGCCGGCTCCCTTCCCAGCCCATCCCAGCCGAGCCTCCCGCTTACCTCGATCTCTTCCTTTCTGGGTCAGGTGGTCCCTAAAAAGAAAGAGCGTAAGGTGGCCTCTGACGATGACATCTCCGAGCAGGACGGGGAGGTGAACCGGTTCTCAGATGACGAGGTCGGCTCCATGAACATCACGGACGAGATGAAACGCATGTTTAACCAGCTGTGAGTATCTCCACTGCCCCAGCCCTCCCCGGGGGGGGGGGGGGGGGCGGGGAGGGGCTCCTCTCCAGTTTCCCCAGATTGCTGGGACAGGGGTGGCAAACCCGTGACCTGGGCTGAAAGCAGCCTGCAGATGTGTTTTGTGTGGCCGGCACGGTGTTCTGAAAGAATTTAGATTTATTTTCAATCTTTACAGTTTGGGGAGTTTCACATTTTCAGAAGAGGCCAAGTGGTTAGTGGTGGTCCTGTCAGATCAAGCCTTCCGCTCCCACCATTGTCCTTGCAGGGCAGCGGGAGGGGAGGGGAGGGTAGCCAAGCCGATCCACACACCAGGGCCCCCCAGGCTGGCCGGCGGAGGGCTCCCGGCGTCCACTGAGCATCCTGTGTCTGTAAGGTGCTTCACAAATGTGACTTCGGGGACTCCAGACAGTCGACCAAGGAGGGTGGATTCCCGTCTCCCCTTTTGTACACGAGGAAACTGACACTCACGGGAGGGAAGCCACTTGGCCAAGACCACCCCACGGATAAGGTGGCGGAGCTGAGATTCAGAGTCAGGCATGTCACCTGTGAGATGCCGCGGGCCAGTGGCAGAGTCCGGGGCTGGCTGTGGTCAGTGGTGGGCTGGAGCCAGCTCGTACCAGCTCATGAAAGCGATCGCACACATGTCTGCCCACTCCAGTCCAGTGACGGCACGGGGAAGTCGCTTCAAGTTTGCCCTGGTGGGAAACTGGCGAATACTTTCCATCAGGGCTGCTCTCCCCTCCCCTGTGGAAAGCTGGTTTCCTAGAACCCCCACCGGCCGTAGTCGCCTAGGGCAGGGACACACTGTGTATGGCCTTGGCCTGCCCAGTGCCGTATTCTCAATCCAAATCCATCTTTAACTGTGACTCATGTAGTGCCCTAAAGTGGGGAGGGGGAGGGGAGAGGAGGGTGCAGCGGTGGGCATTAGGTGACTCACCTATGGGCCTGGAGTCAAAGGGCTGGGCTGGGACAGGGTCTCTGGGGCCGCTTCCTCCTGCCCCACGGGCCTGCTCTTGGCTACTCTTTCTCTGGAGGCCTTCGCAGTGGGGCACCCAAGCCCTGAGAGCTCTGCTTTTCCCCAGGGCTCTGGGTTTCCAACAGCAGGGCTACGTTTGAGCTCTTGGCTCTCCTGAGCCATCGCAAAAACCCCACAGAACCGCTCCAGAGGGGGCACGTGTCTTTCGCAGTTGCCTGTGACATTGTACTCAGCTCAGAAGCCAGGGCACAGCCATCTCCTGATGGCTTCCTGCAAAGCTCTGGGGCTGGCTTAGCATTACAGAATCCGAGGGTCACTCAGCCCAGCCCTTCACATACAGATGGGGAAACCGAGGATAAGAGAGGGGCCTGCCAGGAGCTGGAACAGAGCGGGGTCCCTGACTCTCGGTCGAGTGCTTTGTCCCCAACTGGCTGTCTTTGTGCACAGAGAGATGTCTCCCTCTGCCTTCCTTGCAACATCATCCCTGCCCTGGTCCCCTTGTGGCCGAGCCAGGTGACTCTCAGGGAGACAGGAGTCAGAACCGAGCAGGGATGGGTTTGCCTGCCACTTCCTTGTACTTGGCATTCTCCTGACACAGAACTGAGGTGGGCTGCGTTTTGGGGGTTTGCTGTTTGAGGGTGACAGTCTCCTGGACTCTTGATATCATCTTCTGACGTCCCCTCCAAATGTCATACTCTCATCGAAGAGAACTCTTGGTTGGATCCGGTTGTTCTGAATGTTAGGCTGGGCATTGTCCGCCCCCCCCCCAGGCCCAGGCTGGGTTCATTCGCATGGATTCAGGGGCTTTGTCCCCGTTTTCAGAAAGTCACCAGGGGATAGTTAGGCCTCCTAGGAATGGGGTGAGCTGAAAGGGACAGTCCCAAGAGCTGGGTCTGGGGGCTCCACCGGAAGCAGTACTGTGTATACAAAGGAGGTTCCAATGCAAAAACGGGTGCCTGGTGTTGACAGGTCTGAACTAGGTTCAGTATCTAATTAGATTTATCAGTTGTACAGTTGCCTAGATTAAAAAAAAAAAAAAAATCCTCTGATCCCTCTCCACCCTTGCAGTCCTGGCCGAGGCCGTGCTGACCCCACCCTCGGCAGGGCCCCGGCCCCTCCCACTGACATGTCCGTGTCCCCTCGCTATGGACTGGGCAGAGACCCAAGCCAGAGGCTGCCCCCCGGCCGGTTCCACTGGTGTCTTTGAATAATGCGCCCGTGTCAGGGCTGTTTTGTTTTGATCAAAATCTGTTGCTTGGGCTTCAGACCAAGGAGAAGGGGAGGAATTTGCTACTTTCCCTGCACCGGGGCCAGCTCCTTGGCTCCGCCTTCTCGATCGTCTGACCCTCCTCTCTTGCCCATCTTCCCATCCTTTCTGGCTCCCCGTTACTCAGCCAGGGTTTCCTTTAGATTCCAGACACTAGAAAGGAAGTGAAGTCAGCAGTCGAGTATGTGTTGCGGTGCGGGTGGACCCCAGGGGCTCGTCTGGAGCTAGTCCAGGCCAGCATTGCCTTCCGACACAGCCCTGGTCCCGGCTCTGGTCCCTGGTCCCTGGTCCCTGGACCCACGGAGCCACCTACAGGATCCAGCAGGAACTGCATTTTGGTGGGGAACCTGGCTCCAGGGGAGGCTCTAGGTAGTTTTTAACCGGAAGTTCTTCTTGGGCCCAGCCTGGTGGCCCCCAGCCTGATCCTTTGGGAAAATAGGGAGCAGTGTCCCGGAGAATCCAGGGAGGAGTTGAAGGAGAGCCCCGGGACTCACGGTTCTCTTCTGTGGCTGATTCGACGGATCGAATGATTTAACCCCACAGACCTCAGCCTTCCCATCTGATTTTTGAGGTCCCCTCCAGCAGGGGGAGCCAGGGCATCTCCAGAAACCCCTCAGTCCCAGGCCAGCCTGTATGGTCTGTTACTACTTCTAGTCCCGGTGAATAGGGAGGCTCTGAAATTACTTGGGCTTTGAATGCAAACCCGATTTCCAGCATGTGTTGGTCCAGCAGTCTACCTAATCCCTGCAGCCTTCAGTGTCCTCATGTGTAAAATGGGAGTAATAATTATGCTTGCTTCATAGGAACGTCGTGAGGATGGAATGAAATGCAGTTTAATAGAGGCGTAGCGCCCTGTTGCGTGCCCGGCACATATGGGTGCTCAGTGTGTTTTCCTGGGGAGGAAATGGCTGTGGGAAACATCTGGTTTTTAGCCCCAGTTTCTGTTACAAGCAAGCAGTGTGACTTTGGACAAGTGTGGTTTTCTTTCTGAGCTGCAGTTTCCTCACCTGTAAATTGGGAACAATAGCAACCTTTTCCTAGTTGTGGAGAAGATGATATAAATCGCTAGAAAGGAAGTCAAGTCAGCAGTGGACTATGTGTTGTGATATACTCTTGCAAAGTAGGGTCTCAAGAAATGAGCTGGTACCTGAGTGAAAATAGTCACAAGGGATGCCTGCGTGGCTCAGTTGGTTAAGTGTCTGACGTCGGCTCAGGTCATGATCTCGCGGTTCATGGGTTCGAGCCATGTGTCGGGCTCTGTGCTGACAGCTCAGAGCCTGGAGCCTGTTTCAGATTCTGTGTCTCCCTCTTTCTCTGCCCTTTGCCTGCTCCCTCTCCCTCTTTCTCTGCCCTTTGCCTGCTCTCTCTCTCTCAAAAATAAACATTAAAGGGGCGCCTGGTGGCTCACTCAGTTAAGCATCTGACTTCGGCTCAGGTCATGATCTCACGGTCCGTGAGTTCGAGCCCCGCGTCGGGCTCTGTGCTGACGGCTGGGAGCCTGGAGCCTGCTTCGGATTCTGTGTCTCCCTCCCTTTCTGCCCCTTCCCCACTTGTGCTCTGTCTCTCTCTGTCTCTCAAAAATAATAAATGTAAAAAAATAAAAATAAAAAAATAAACATTAAAATTAAAAAATATATATGTATATACATTTTAAGTTGTGTAAGTAATATGTAAGTACTTTCTGCATTTTAAAAGAGTTGAACCCCCATGGTAAGGTGTGTGTCCCCTTTGGCCAGTGCCCCTCTCTGTTTGGGGGGGGTCCACCTTGCAGGAGCATACCCATTGGGGCAGCACCCCTGTCTCTCCCAGACCCCGGCCTCTGGAGCTGGCCTCTGCTCAGCCCTGCCCTCTGGTGTCCTCCCACAGGCGTGAGACCTTTGACTTTGACGACGACTGTGACAGCCTGACGTGGGAAGAGAACGAGGACACGCTGCTGCTCTGGGAGGACTTCACCAACTGCAACCCGACCATTGACCTGCAGGGCGAGGTGAGCCCGGGGCCTGGCCTCCCACAGTCCTCCCAGCCATCCCCTGCCCCTGCTATGCCCCGGCAGCCCATGCCATCCGTCTCACTCGGCCCCCTTTGCTCTGTGTCCCCAGCAAGAGGAGAATTTGGGCAACTTGATCCATGAGACAGAATCCTTCTTCAAGACAAGAGACAAGGAGTACCAGGAAACGATCGGCCAGATCGAGGTGAGGATCTCGGGCTCTGGGACCCCCTAGAGACGCCCCCGTGAAGCGAGGTGTCCGTCACAGTGGAGACCCCGTGACGAGTGTGCCTGTGGACCAGGGGTTGGGAGTTGGAGGCCTGCGGTTTCCTGTCTGCCCCTGCGTGGGTCCTACCCTACCTTAAGGCCTCTGTTTTCCAATGTGTAAAATACGTAAAATGGGGGTGGTCATCCCTGCCTGTCCCGGAGAACTTTTTTTTCCCTAAGTTATTCAACTGAGATCGTGATCCCAAATAAGCAGGGATGACGCCTGAGTGACATTGAGTGATGCCAGGCACCGAGTGAGCCCTTACGAGGACAGCCTCCCTGGTACCCACATACCCTCTCTGTGCCGAGAGGTAGTGAGGTGCCTCCACCCCGCGTCGTGGCTACCGTGCACCCCGTTTTGGGGGGAGGAGATCCTCCCCCCGTGCAGTGGCTCCTGTGCACCCGTTTTACAGAGGAGGAAGTGGGGTGGAAAAAAGCCCGTGTGGCTTGCCCAGGGCATCCAGCCAAGAAGCCGCCTTCAGGCCTCCTGTCTCCTCTCTAGAGCCTGCACACCTGGCCACGTCTTTCGCTGAGGGTGAATGCTGGCGAAAGAGCAGGCCGGCTCCTTCCCTGGGGGACATAGCATTTGGTAGAGGAGAAGGGTCAGAAACGTAACAGGGACCTGAGAACTTTCCTAATCAAGTCCGGGGAAAGGAGCGCAGGGATGCTGGGCTGGGCAGAGTCAGTGGAACCAGGAAGGCTGCCCTCCCCCCCCATGGTTGCTAAGCAACCGTTCCCCTTTCACTGGAAGCCGTTCTGGAGGCCACGGACCAACACACAGAGAATGGAGGGAGGCCCAGAGGGTGTGGGGGCCGGGGTGGGTGACTTGGCCTCACCTTTATCCCCGCATCGGGTCCCGGCAGCTGGAGCTGGCCACAGCCAAGAGTGACATGAACCGGCACTTGCACGAGTACATGGAGATGTGCAGCATGAAACGTGGCCTGGACGTGCAGATGGAGACCTGCCGCCGGCTCATCAAAGGCTCCGCTGACAGGTACCCAGCCCGGTCCTCCCTGGGGATTCAGTGACTGCGTCCTTTGGCAGGGGGGGGGGGGCGGGCATTTGTGGGGCTGCAGTTTACAGCCTGGCCCATTTCGTCTGCTCAGCCCTTCTGTCCATCCTCCTGTCTGTCCATCCATCCATCCATCCCTCCATCCATCCGTCCATCCCTCCCTCCCTCCCTCCCTCCATTCATCCCTCCCTCCATCCATCCTTCCATCCATCCATCTTTCCATCCGTCCCTCCCTCCCTCCATCCATCTCTCCATCCGTCCATCCATCCATCCCTCCCTCCCTCCATCCATCCATCCATTCATCTGTCCATCCATCCCTCCATCCATCTGTCCATCCCTCCCTCCCTCCATTCATCCCTCCCTCCATCCATTCTTCCATCCGTCCATCCATCCATCCCTCCCTCCCTCCATCCATCCATCCATCCATCCGTCCATCCATTCATCTGTCCATCCATCCCTCCATCCCTCCATCCATCCATCCCTCCCTCCCTCCCTCCCCATCCCTCCCTCCCTCCCTCCATTCATCCCTCCCTCCATCCATCCATCCATCCATCTTTCCATCCATCCCTCCCTCCCTCCCTCCCTCCATCCATCCCTCCATCCATCTCTCCATCCGTCCATCCATTCATCTGTCCATCCATCCATCTATCCATCCATCCATCCCTCCATCCATCCCTCCTTCCCTTCCTCCATCCATCCATCCATCCATCCATCCATCCATCCATCCATGTATCCAATGAGTATTAGCCGCTTGCTGTGTGCTGGATGACTTATGTAGTCTGATCTCACGTAACTCCCGTGACAGCCCTGTCCCCACTGATGCCACAGCTACTTGTCACGTCAAAGGCCTGCTCTGTGCCAGGCTGCGGAGACAGTGATGAACAGAACAGCCACAGCCCCTGCCTCTAGGGGGCTCATGCCCCACTTTCTGCCGAATTGCCAGTGGGTGGAGGAGGTAGGGAGGGCACTCCTCCACCTCTGCCGATGGGGCTCCTACTTGTCCTTTTCCATCTTCCATCCAAGAGCCACCTGGGTCTGGCCCCAGGAGACTGATGTGCATCAGGCCCCTTGTATCTGCCAGGGAACACCAAAACAAAGAGCCCCTGCCTTCGAGGAACACACAGCCTTTTTGGGGAGACATATGCTAATAATAAAATGAGATAATACATGTAAAATGCTTGGCACGAAGCACACATATGTTAATTGTAATTGTTTCTCTTATTAGGACTGTATTCCTGCGGGCCATGGTTCAGGCTGTAAGAGGGAGAGACAGCTCAGTGGGAAGCTGCGTGGGGGGCCCTGGGCTTAGCATGCCACACCTTTAGCTCACTGTTTCCCCCCAGAGCCCCCTGTCATTATCTCTGTTGTTCAGATGGAGGAGCGTAGGCTTAGGCTGGTTAAATAGCTTGCCCGAGGCCCCCCAGCTCTTCAGCGATAGGGCCAGAATTCGAACCCAGTACCATTGGCCACTTTCCTGTATGGCCTCCCTCTGAGTTAATTGGGGTTTACTGAGCACCTACCACGTGCCCAGCCCTGCATTAGGTGGTTGGAGAATAGGAACCAAGCTCGATCCATAGTTCCTGCTGCCAGGGAGCTCTCAGCACCCAGCAATTAGAGGCATTGGGGGCGGGGGGTGGTTCCCAAGAGGTCTTGAGGGCCACAGTCAACTCGTGAGCTTAGAAGATTCTAAAGAAAGCAGAGCAAGGCCAGGGGTCTCAGGGCAGGACACCCCTCTGGGGTTAGATTATACACAAGTGCCGGCTCAGTCTTTTCTGCTCCTTGCATCCCTTCAGGGGTCCGCAGATTGCCCTCTGAATGACCCCATTCTCTTGTGCCTTCCAGGAATTCACCGTCCCCCAGCTCCGTGGCCAGCAGCGACTCAGGAAGTACAGACGAGATCCAGGATGAGTTTGAGCGGGAGGCGGATGTGGAGCCCATGGTCAGCTGATGACTGAGGCCCCCCCTGTGCCTGGTGGTCTCGGTGACGGGGCCTCTGCCCCCGCTCCCCGTGGGGCCGGGAAGGCTCCTCAGAGCAGGGCTCCAGTCCTCACCACACCGACTCCCTCTGCCCTCCCGTCTCCGGAGGCCCCGAGGGACCGCTGCTTCCTTCCTTCCAGCCCACCACCAACCAGTGCCCCTTCTCCATCCACCCACCCAAGGAATGGTGCTGTCGATTTCTATTGTTCTCCACATCACAAATGCAGACTTCTGTCCGGACGATGCAGAGTTAACTGTGCCTTTTCCCCTAAGCTGAGCCACTTTGAGCTCCAAAGAATTATTCCTAGCAGGTGTTTTTATACAAAACTCTAAGGTGAGGGCGGGGCCCCTGGCATGGTATAATATGGATTTCTACCCTCCCACCTGCTCCTCTGATTGGCCGTGAGCTATGCCCTTCCCTCCTCTGCCTGGCCAGTGCAGACCTGAGTTGGCCTTGGGGTGGTCCACCCCCCCCCCCCCCCCCCCAGGAAGGAGCTGTTTGCCTTTGCAACCTTTCTAGGCCTGGGTGGGGGGCTCTCAAGTGCTTTAACTTGAAAAGATGGAAGGAGGGAGGGGAGACAAAATTTTCTTTTTTTTCTTTTTTTGGATCGAGTGGCAAAGTGGAGGGACAAGGCACTGTGGGGGGGGGGGGGGAGTGGAGACTCACTGTGTTTAAACTACTATGCAAAAAACAAACAAACAAACAAACAAACAAAAAAAGCAGCTTGCCTTATATCATTGTGGAAGGTAGGCTCCCGCCCTGACTCCTGGTTTTCCCCCGGAGCTCGGAGGGAGGCTGAAGCTAGGGCGAGCTCTCTCGCAACCTCCTCGGGTGAGCACTGACTTGGGAGGGGGGTTCTGTCACGGTTGGTAGTGAGGCCTGGGTCCTGCAAGGCCCTTGGCCCACCTGACTGCTTGCTCTCTTGGGACCTCTGTGGGGTGGGAGGGGTCTTCTATTGCCCTGGTCATTGGCAAGTAAACACGTTTTGTTTTCTTGATGTTTTTCTCTCCCTTCCCAGCCAATGATAAGGGGCTATAGGTCTGTAATTTCTCTGTGAGAAAGTCTGAAGGGGGCTAGGTCTGGTATCTGCCCCCTCCATAGTGGAGCTGGGTTCCTACCTCCCGCCGCCATCTTGGTTCTCCACTGCCCCCGGTTGTCCACTTCTTGGCCACTGGCTGACACTGGAAAGGGAAGGGGAGGGAGGCATCGAGGGCTGCTGGCAGATCAGAGGTGGTGGCAGGAGTGGAGCTCATCTCTGGATGAGAGCCATCCTTGTTCTGCTCATGGACACCCGCAAGCCTGTTTCTATTCTTCACTTGATTGACCGACTGGCAGGGAGTGAATCTGAGCCAGTGTCTCCCCAAGACTTGAGTGGGCCTGTGTCAAAAGGCACCACGTTGAGGCCACGCTGCCAAATCTCAGCTTGGAACCAGGCGAGCAGGTTTCGCTTTTTAAGAAAAATTTCTTTTTGGACCCACTCCTGTGGGTGGGATCGCCGATTTTTTTTTTTTTTTTTAATTGGCCCAGGAGCTCCCCCTGGAGGTCAAAGAAGCAAAATGTGCCCAAGGACCAGAACTTCTCGCCTACTGCTCCTGTGTGGAGGCAGAGGAGGGGCTCTGGCTTTAAAACGGATTGCAGCCCCCTGTCTTTCTTCCTCAGGGTACCAGCGACCTGTTAGGGCCTTCTCTCTCTTCCGTTTCCCCCACCTGTTTTGCAGTCTTAAAACCATTGTACATAATATTCATATTATATATATATATATATATATATATATATATATATGGAGAGAGAGAGTGTATGTTAGTGACTGTATGTAATTTTTATTTATCAGAACTTGGTGGCCTTCATCGTGAGTTCTTTCCATTGTTGTTGTTGTCGCTGAGGGAGCCTGCTAGTGGTTCCCCGTGGCATCTGGCTGAGAGGCTTCCATCCCCGGCCGAACGGTCCCTGGGTAGGTACATGGAGGGATTGATGGCTTCAGAGGAGAGACAGCCCCTTTCCCTCCTCCTCACTGACCCTTGTTCTAAAGGTTACAGGGTTCAAACATACCTGATTATTATGGTCCTTAGTGTTATTGTTGTTTTAGTTTTAGTTTCATTTTAACCAAAGGTTATCAGAGCCAGTTGGCCTTGGACCTCAGCTGCTGAAAAGATTTTCCGTTTCCGGGAGGACCCCTCGGGCCTCCTCTGTCCGGGGCTGGGGGGAGGCCTGGAAGGACGTGGTTTGGGAGGCAGAGTGGAAGCCAGCCCCGGGTTGTTCCTCAAGGTGGTGGGAGGGTGACAGACCTAGCTTTAGTGTTAAGACGTAAGGCAACAGTGTAAGTATTTGGGGGTAACTAAGGTGACCGGGGCAATCGGTGTCCGGTGGTGTTATTTATGCTTCCCATTTTGTGTACATAGGACGTTCGTCTCTGGGACTAGCGTGCTCTAAGTTTGTCCAGGGAGTATGGAAATGGCAGGAGCCAGAGATAGATGCTGGCCAGAAAGTTCCTTCTTGCTGATTTTCCATAGCTGCTCTCCTCTGGGGAGCAAGGATTTGGGGCAGGACGATGGGGGTGGGGGACAGCAAGGGGGTGGCCGACCCGCCTCCTTGGCAGGGGGCCTGGGTCTTGGTCTGGCTACCTTTCTCCCCACCAAGTTCTGCTTTTTTTTTGTTTTTTTGAGTTCGTTGCCAGTGGGCCCTGCTTGTCCCCTCGCCATGAGCCCACAGCTTGCCAAGAAAGACCCCAACGCTCGCTGGGGCAGCACTAGGTCCGGTCAGGACGAACTGGTCCGTCCTTTGTAAAGCTGTAAATAGTCAAATTTCTATTTCTAAGCCCAGTGTCATATTGACATTGGTATTTTAGGGTTGTTCTCAGATGGGCTCTCCTGTGCTGCCCTCTCTCACTCTCCTATTTTTGGGGGTTTTATAAAAAGAGAGGATCGGGGAGGAGCAGGGAGAGTAGCTTTCCTTTGGGCTCCCTGGTTGTGGAATCCACACGCGCGCACGCACTCATGCGCGCGCGCGCGCGCGCGCACACACACACACACACACACACACACACACACACACTCCTCTGAGACTCCAAACAGGGGATAAACAAAAAAGATCATTGGCAAGTAAACACATTTTGTTTTCTTGTAGCAATATATCTTGAGGTCTCTGAAGGCCCAGTCTGTCACAGACTTGGCTCTGACCTACAGAGAAGCAAACCACTTTGGCTTGGAATGGGGGAGAGGGTGCGGGGTAGGGGGTAATAGAAGGTGTCACTTAAGCTAAATGTAACCTATTTATAAAGCAAGAGATTCTCATCTATTTTTATGAAAGGAAAGGGTTTTTAAATCCAGGGTAGGCAGTTATGGCAGCCCAGCGTTCTTCTGTGAACACGATGCATGTTGCTGTGTTGCTGCTGCTGAATATAACCAGTGCCCCTCGCCCCATCTCCCCGGCCTCACCGCCTACTCACCTGCACCCATGAGCGGCTTCAGCAGAACCTACCTCCCGCTTCACCCCATTTCCCTGTTCCTTAACCCCTCCCCCAGCTCCTCGGTCCTTGGAAGTCTTTGGGGGGGAGCACTTGTGGGCGTGGGTGGGCAGTGGGGAATTCAGAATTGAGGTGGGTGGGGGGAGGCGAAAGGGGGCACCAGGTAGGGGCCCAGCTCTGCCTCGGAGGGTGGGCTCTGAGTAGTTCCTCACACTCCGATCTGCCCAGACCCATTTCCAAGTCAGCGGTGTTTGGGAGAGGCTGAGAACCAGCAGGCTGTGGGCGGCCATGGGACTGTTGGTTCAGGGAGCATTCGGCTTCCTTGGGGCCTGGGCCCTAGTGGGTCCCAGGTCGTCAGGCAGCTGGAGCAGGGATGGAAAGGCCAGGGGATGCCTCCCTCCCAGCCCCAGCTGTGCGGACTCCGGGCCAAGGCCTAGGCTGTGGTCCTTGATGTGCTCCTCCGGGGCGTGGGAGAGGACTAGGGTGCTGCGTGCTGGGTCCTGCTCAGACCTGGGTTCACCACCCGGAGATACCGAGCTCTGGTTCTAGACGGGCACGCTCCTAGAGTGTGGAGTCTGGGGGCAGCCGGGTGGGTGGGGGGGAGGGCAGGAGGATTTCTAGGCTCAAGGTGGGCTTGTGTGTTGGTCTTGGGCAAATCCCCCACCGTTCCTGCCGCCAGGCCCTCAAAGAAATGAGGCGAAGGCACCATCCCCACCCCTAGCAAGACCCCTTCGGTGGACATTTTAGCATCTACCTGATTTTTAGCCCCATCCAGGGAGACTTTGTATCCCACAGCCCCATCCCACCCCACTGTTGCTGTCTGTCTGCCAGTTGGGTCTCGTGTCAAGGGGAAGGGGGCGGGGGGAGGTTTATACTCGTTGAAAGACTACTGATCCTACCAGAAACCAACCTGTTTACTGTACTGTTGTAAATATCATGCCCTTTATATCCTGTATATTGGCTTCTTTTAAATAAAGTGAAATGTCTTAGAATTGATGGCGTTTTTTTTGGGGGGGGGGGATAAAGTAGTGATGGGGGAGGGGCAAGAGGACTGCGGGCCACGTAAACACCAAACCAAGTAACTGGCCAATTTGTGATAAAATAGGGAAATTTCACATCACCTGCTATAGTTTCATCCCCCAGTAAACTCTTTGGAAGTCGATAAAGCAGGAAGGGGAAGAGCGAGCCACAGGTATCACAGGCTGAGTAACCAGCAGAGACTGGCTTGCAGTTGAGGTCCTTCCTGTTAATCATAAAGCCTGCCGTTTCTTGAACCAACCTTTTACTGAGCCCATGAGAGGCCACCTTCTGGGACTCTGAATTTGACACTGTCCAGTGTTCTAGTGTCTTCTTGTTAATGGCCAAATCTGGGGAGACATTGCCTCGTGTGAGCTGCCCCCCTCCCTCCCGCCCCCCCCCCCCCCCCCCCCCCCCCCCCACACTAGAGTTTTCTGCATGGATTAAGAGAGACAGGAATGCCTGGGTGGCTCAGTTAAGCGTCTGACTCCAGCCCTGCTCAGGTCATGACCTTGTGGTTTGTGACTTCAATTCCGGCCTTGAGCTCTGTGCTGACAGCACAGAACCTGCTTAGGATTCTCTCTCTGCCCTCCCCCACTCGTGGTCTTTCTCTCAAAATAAATCAATAAACTTAAACTTTTTTTAATAGAGCCACCAATTCCAATCTATTTCTACCATCTTTAAGACTTGCGCTTAATGTAGCTTCCTTTTCTCGCTTCCTGCTCTTTAAATTCCCCCGAAGTGTCTTAAAGGGTGTGACCTGGAGAAAGAGGAGTAGCATGAAATAATGGGGACATTCTAGGGTGGGTATTATTGCCCCTCTAATATAGACCTGGAAACTGAGACCCAGGGAAGTGATGTATTTTGCTAACGTCCTAAGTTGGAACCACAATCACGCCTCGGGACTGACTCCTAAGCAGGTTCTCGGTTCACGCTGGAGGAAATATAAACAGGTAAACTGGAAGAGTGTTTAGGAATAGAACGAATCCCTAGGACCCCGCCACCGGAAAGGTTTCAGAATCCTAATAGTAAATAAAGCGTTCAAGCAAACAACTTCAAGAGGAAACCAAAAGTTTGACTGGGGTGGGGTGAGCTGGCGGGGGTGGAATGGAGGTCAGGGACAACTGGTTCCAAGGTCAGAAGCTTTGAGGGAAAAGCTAAGCATGGACTGGCTGGGTTTTCTCTCTTATTGATCGTAATCTGCCAGCAAGCAGGCGGATTTATCTCAGCGTCAGGCTCACGCAAGCTTTAGGGCCGGCACGACGCTGGGAGGTGGAGGCGGCTGGGCACCCACCAGGAGGAGGCTGGAGGCAGGGTTTGCAGGCTCATCCCAGGGGCTGCAGTCTCCGCGTGGAGGCAAGGGGCTGGCCGCGGTGTGGACCCGCGGGGTCAAAGAACCTGATGCCATCTGACCAAGGGCAGCCCAAGCAGTCAGGCCGGGACGCTCGAGACACCTGACGCACCAAACCGCAGCCCTTCCGCTGCTCCGCGCACGTGTCCTGCTCCGGCTCTCTCATTGGCTCTTCAGCCCCCTGGCCCAAGACGGCTGCAACAAGACCGTCCATCGGATTGGCCCATAAGCTTCGATGTGTTATTCTGATTGGCCAATGAGGCTCACGCCCCTTCTCCCTCGGCCCCCTGGAGGGCTGTTGAGTCATACCGTAAAAAGGAGGGGAAAACGTGTATATGTCAAGACTTCTTTTTTGGGCTGCCTTGTCCTGTGTCGCATACTGGTCTCTACAGTGCCCTCAAAACAAGAGTTATTGTGTTGGCAGAAGTCACATACGGAGACATTTCTGATGACCTTGACTTCGGAGGACGGTAGCGTGATCAGATCCCCCCGCCTGTCGAGGTGGTGCGCTCCGGGCGGGGCTCCACCTTCTGGCCGCGCCCGGGGCGCGCCGTGAGCGGACTGCCGCGCCGCGCGCTCGAGATGCTGCAGCTGTGCCCCGCGCTCCGCCGCGCCCTGCAGGCCCGCCCCTGGAGGGGGCCCGGGTGAGTGCGCACCTCCCTGCCGGACCCCCGCCACGGTCCCGCGGGTCCCCCGGCTGGGGGTCGCTTCCTCTGGCGCCCCGCCCCGCACCCAGGCCTTCCTCCGCTGCGACCCCCACCGTCTCTTGCCTTCCGCGAGGGGGGACCCCCTCCTGGCTCCCACGCTCTGCTCGGAAAGTCGCCTCCTTCGCGCTCGCCTTTCTCCTAATGCTGGATCCACCGCCGAAGTGCGCCTCGATTTTTCGCACAGCGCTTCTCAGCTCCCCACCCTTGGTCTCACATTCAGGATCCATCCACCTCTGGGATTCCCTGAGTCTCCTCTGTCCTTTCCACTGGGACTTCTTACTCTCTTTCCCGCCCCTCCCCCTTTTCAAGTTAATTACCGGGAGTGAAAGGGACTCTTCCTTCTGATAGGTGGAATAGTAATACTTACGGAGTTCGTATAATGTATCAGACGCTAAGGAAGACCATACATTTAAAGTGCTCGAACGGTGCCTAGCACTTAGTGCCCGGTTCTTATTAGTCATGATCGTCGTTTATCACTCTCTTTTAAAACTGTGCGGTAGATATTCCAGATTACAGGTGAAGAAACCCACGTGTAGTTTCAAGGTGGATCAGCCCTGGAAACTTCCAGGCTGTGGAGTTGGATTCTTGGACCCGTGCCCACTCAACGAATGACAGATGTTCTTAGAGCCCCTTCCTCTTCTGGGCTAGACAGGGTGTGTGTGTATGGGGGGGGGGGGGGGGGTGGGGGAGGGATAGGTAGGACACAGACCCTGTCCCAGAGGGGCCTAGTCTGATGGACGGGTGTTTCTCTGGGCCTCCCTTTCAGAGCTGGGTAGCCCCCACCCCCAATTTGAGTTTTGTTTGCCTGACCCCTAGGATTGTGACCAGCCATGTCTCCTCTGCTGAGCTATGCCCTTTCTGAGTTAATCAGTGTCCCAAGGGATGGCACGGGGGTGCCCTGGACATGGGTCAGTTTCAACACAGCTGTGTGTCCTTTGTGGGTGGGGGCTCGATAGGTAAGGGCACAGGAAAGGCACATGGGGGAGAAGGATTCGGGGCCACACTTGTCACACTTGCCCTTTTGTGGGCTTCTCCCTGCGCTCTGACACCCACTCCCCTCCCCGCAGACCTTACACGGAAGCTCCGTACGTTCCTGTATTTACGAGTACCCACAATGTGCGGATGTTGTGCTAAACATGGAAGAGAAGGGTACCCCTGAGATTTGCATGTGGACTTTTCAGTTTAACGGCAGGGTTGGGGGCTGGCGGGAGGAGGGCTTAGCCATAAAAAGCTCTAATATCTGGTAGAAAGCAATCTATATTCTTTTAAAAAAAGCTTGTAATAGCAGTAATATTTCTCAAGCAATGGAGTATGGTGCTGTCGCTAATAAGCACTGTATTATCCCCGTTTTTACAGAAGGGAAACTTACTTTCCAGTTGAGGCGAATGGAAGACCAAATTCGCAGTCAGACTCCAGATTCATGCTCTTAATTACAGAGCTTCCAGAATGGAGGAAAAGCATTTTGCAATCAGATCTGAAGAGTTAGGTTAACCTCTCTCGGTAGAGCAGCTGGCCCCGGTGCCCTAGACCCTAGGGTTTCTCAACCTTGGCACCATTCACATTTCGAGCTGGGTAATCCTGGGTTGTGGGGGCTGTGAGACACCATTAGCACCCCGCGGCTGTGACAGTAGAAACATGTCAGACATCGCTGATGGTCACCTAGGGCAGAAGTGCACCCAGCAGAGAGCCATTACTTTGGAAAAACAGGTTTGATGTTTGGCCACTTTGTCATTTATTCAGTGACTATTTAGGTAACACATGTCCGTTGTAAAAAGTACAGATAAAGCAGAAAAGGGTACACACGTCACTTGGAATGTCACCACACAGAGGTAACCGCTGTCATCATTTTAATACCCTTTAAAAAAATTTTATTTATTTATTTTGAGAGAGAGAGAGCATCCCAAGCAGGCTCTGCCCTGTCTGCATGGAGCCCGATGGCGGGGCTCGAACTCACGAACTGTGAGATCATGACCTGAGCTGAAAGCCAAGAGTCGGACCTCAATGTACTGAGCCACCCAGGTGCCCCTAATAGCCTTTGAAGTTTCCGTGAATATGTATTTTTAAAAAAAGAGAAAACCCACAGTATACACGCAGGCTCACCTGCAAATCCATTTTTGTAGTTGACTTTTTTATTTCATGGACTTGTCTACCTTGCCGTCCCCGGGGCCTCATAGTGTGTCTGGCACCCGGGAAGCCCCGAGCAAACATTTGGTGAAGAAATGATGTTCACAGCCCTTCTTTGCCAGTAGGTACTTATTACAACTGGTCTTGAGCCAGGGCTGACCCAAACGGCCGCCGTTGGCCTTCTGTGTGGATTATTTTACTGAGCTCATCCGGAGCCTGTGATGTAGGCGTCACTATTCCCATTTCACGGATTAAACGACCGAGGCCCTTGGAAATTAAGGAAAATTTGTCTACACCAGACCCCCCGGCTGACTGCCTCCTGTCTCCTTTGGCCCTGACCTCCTGCTTTTTTTCTCTACTTCATTGACTCTATGGGGGATGTCCTCGGTGATGTCTTTGCAAATTCTTGTTGGAAAGAGTCAAGATACATATTTATGTTTATATGCACATTTAATAAACAAAAGAACTATCTTGGGCGCATAGCAGGCTTACAACGAATGTTATTTTTGTCCATTACTCTTGTAGCAGACCTTGCTGGGTGCGAAGGGTGCAGAGATGACCCCCCTGCTCCCCAGCAGGGATGGGTGGGCTGGAATTGGCCACAATCCTGTTCCCTGCCGGAGTCCTGGGTCACTTTGGACTCCTCTCAGCCCACCTGCCTGTTTAATTTTCAGAATTTCAAGCCTCCCCAATGTTTGTCCCGCCTGCCTGCCCCCCGGGATGGGCACAGGCCGGCACATCCCACCGTCCCCTGGACGTACTCTGCTCTCTCAGTCCCCTAAGCAGAGGCCAGGCAGCACCTCTTGCCTGGAATGTCCTCCCCCAGCCCCCATGGTGAACCCACACTCACCCAGCACTTTGCGCCCTTGGCAAGGCAGCTCTCCTTTGGCCCCTCAGTGCCCTGTCTGTAAAATGGGGATAATCCTATCAGCCGTGTAGCAGAAGGATTAGACGTGATGTGACAGGTAGATTGCTGGGGTCTGGTACCCCTTACGCAAGTGACTTAGTGAAGGAATAAATAGAACCTGCAGTGATCCTAATACTTGTTTCAGAGGTGGTTAAAAGTCCCCACCTGGGCTGTCATCACAGGCATACCTTGAGCACTTGCTTCTGGTACCCAGCACCTGGCCTGGCATACAGTCGGTGCAGAACACTTGCTCTTGGGATGGACCAGGGGACGGCATGGGGCAGATTCCGACTTCACCTCTCAGTAGCTCTGTGGTCCTGGGCGGGTTGTGCAGCCTCTCTGTGCTGCCTCGTGTCCCCAGGTGGTAAATAAAGGTAGTGATAGGAGCCACCTCATAGGATTGCCTTGGAGATGAAATGAACTCATACACGAAAACCACTCCGAAGAGTTTCTGCTCCTAGAAAACATTGCTTTAAGTATTATTTTTGATCGCCTGCCCCACCAGTGGGGTCGTCTGAGTGGTCGTCTTTGATCAGGGCATTCAGACAAGGGGGTCCCAGCACCACAAGGATGGAAGGGGGCGGAGTGAGCCTTCCCTTTATGCTCATTCATTATCCTGAGGCAAAACCCTTTCTGTTGGGACTGACCCTGCTCACCCCAGGGGAAGGGGCAGACACCTGCCCATCTTGGGGGGGTGTCTTACCCCCCCCCCCCAGACCCTTCCTTTCCTGGTAGAGATGTCATGGAGCGGACGGCCCTGGGCTGAGCTGTCCGCGTCCATGGACAGCAAGCCACTGCCTGCCTCTCTCCTCAGGTGGGAAGTGCTGGGCGGGAGGAGGACGCACCTGTCCCCTCGGCCCCACTGCTCAGGGGTCTCTGACAGGCTCAGGGTCAGGGAGTTGTGACCAGAGCCATGCACCGCACAGTAATCTCAGAAGGTCAGTCTGCTCCTCTGTGATGATAATGATGGTGATAATCATGGTGCCTTCTTCATGCACTCGCAGCTTGGACTCGGGACATCATCACTTAGCATAGTGCCAGGCAAGCTGTAAGTGCTTAATAAATCTTCCTTGATGTTCCCGGGCAATAAAGTGGAAACGGCTCAGCCTGGGCCTGATGCCCCTCCCTTCTGGACCTGCCCTGGGGCCCCCGCACTTTCTCTCTGCTTACCTCTCTGCTCCAGGCCCCTCATCTTGGCGATAAGGAGGATTGGCCTTATCAGGTCCCAGATACCAGCTGGGAAAGTCTGGAAGCTGAATGAAGCAAAGCTAGTTTCCTTTCTGCTCCTCTCCTGGGCCTTGGTCACCCCTGGCCCTAGTGCCTGGGGACCTGCATCCAGCCCCCAGGCGTTAGCAGAAGAGCTAACTGGGATGGGAGTCCCGTCCTGGGGGTCTGGTGTTGTCCTGGGGGCCTGGTGTCCTTCTGACAACACCTGGGTGTTCATTGTTGTTGTTGTTGTTGTTGTTGTTGTTCTCCGTCTTTTTGGCTTGATGAGTCTGACAAAAGGTTTACCAGTGTGTCCTTTGCGTCCCAGGCAGTGTGGCCGCTGGTGAATGGAGTGGGCGCAGGCCGGCCCGGGGGAGCCGACACCGTCAGTGGTGCCCTGGGAAGAGCGTGGGGGCTTTGAGATGGCCCGACAGGGCCCCATCTAGGCGCTGTGAGGGTAGCCTCCCAAGCAGAGGGGACTCCAGAGAAGACCTGGGTGGCCCGCGAAGTGGGCGCGGGGGGTGGGGGGCGGGTGGTGGTGATGGGAAGTGAGTCTGGAGGCCTCAGTAAGGATTCTGATTTTTTTGTTGTGGAAGACACGAGAAGCCATGGAGTGGTTTGGGGCGGAGTGCTTGCTCTCTCTGTGTGTGATCAAGTTTTCATGTTTAAACTAACTCTGGCCTGTGTTGGAGAGGTGCTTGGGGACAGTGGAGCAGCGTGGCCATGGCAGGCATGCAGTCCAGGTCCGAGGGTGCCCTGGGACCAGGGTGGAGCCGAGGGTGACCTGGGAGCTCGGGCCCTACACTTCCGAACCTCAGTGTTCCCCTCTGTAAAGTTCTGGGGTTGCACTGGCTGGCCCAAAGCTCTGTCCAGTTCTGTTGCAGACCCTGTGTTGGTGGTGCGACCTTTTTTTTTTTTTTTTTTTTTTAATTTTTTAAAAGAGTTTATTTGTTTTGAGAGAGAGAGAGCACGTGCGCGCGCATGAGCAGGGAAGGGGCAGAGAGAGAGAGGGAGAGAGAGAGAGAATCCCAAACAGGCTCCGTGCTGTCAGCACGTGGGGCTGGAACCCAGGAATTGTGAGATCGTGACCTGAGCCCAAACCAAGAGTCAAATGCTTAACCGACCAAGCCACCCAGGTGCCCCAGTGTTGTGACCTCTTTAGCTCAGATCCTGGTACTTGCAGAGGGTGGAGAGGGGCAGCTTGAGCTCAGAGGCCCAGGTCATGAGCAGAACGGGCACCCAGGTTGTTAGGGGTCCCTGAGTCAAGTTCAGACTAAGTGGCAGGGCCGAGAGCTGCTCTGACAAAGGCAGGCTGGCTTCACCTTTGCATCCCAGAGCCAGGCACCTGGTAAGTGCTCAGAAAATGCATGATGAGTAAATAGCCACATTTTGTTGCCCCTATCTGAGTTGTCTCTTGGCCCTTGCTGTGTAGAATGTGTGCTCGTGACTAAGGAATGCAGTCCTGCCTCCTACGGCCTCAAAGGGCCTCGAAGATCCTCCCCAGAGGCTCCAGGCCCTGTGAGTGATTCTTCTTTGCCTTCCCTGGAGCCCAGGAAGGGTACTCCCGTTCATCCCAACTGGCCCAGGAGCCAAAATCAAAGGGGTGGGGTGGTTTTGTCAGGTGTCTTTGGGTTATTTCTGGCTCTCGTGGACTCAGGCTGATCTTTCAATTCTGTTCCCCACATTCGGACTGATGGGCAGCTGGGCCACGGCCTGGAGACTTGCCAGGCATAGAGGAAGCCCTGGAGAAAGTGATCCTGTGGTCACAGTGGGCCTCTGCCCTGGGGAAGGTAGAGAGAGGCCTGGGAGGGAACAGGTGCCGGAGGGCTGGTAGCTACTGCATT